TACCTTATTTAATCTCAAAACAATTCTGTTAATTGCCACTTACAGAATATGATCACCATTCATTCCTTGTTTGCTGTGTTTAATAGCATTTTTTCTCTTAATACAACATCAAATATTGCGCAATTATTTTAAATTGTTATTCAATTTGTATAAACGTGTTGAAAAGTACATGTAAAATTAGTTATCAATCAAGGACTTTATCTTTGTTTTCTCTCTCAGAAAAGAGTATAGGTTCTCAGTTAGTCTATGGGTTTTAATCCTTGTTTTGGCATGCTTAGCAATGTGAACTCAGATAGTACTCTAAAGAGCCTAGTAAGGTAATATTATAGATCAACAAGGTAACACATGTAAACTGCTTAGTTTAACAACTAACAGATAGCAAGCCCCCCATATGTGTTAACTCTGTCTTGTATCATCATAATTTATGTCTTTGCTTACTTATAAAATCTAGAATTATAATGTATATTATTATAAAATTCATTTGCTGAACTATAAAAAATGAAATTGATTATATTTTTAAAGATTGTATTTATTTATTTTTAGGAGAGGGAAAGGGGAAGGAGAAAGAGGGAGAGAAACATTGATTGATTGCCTCTCATATGCCCCAACCAGGGACTGGCTGGCAGCTCAGGCACATGCCCTGACAAGGAACTGAACCAATGACCTTTTGCTTTGCAGGATGATGTGCAACCCATTGAGCCACGCTGGCCTGGGCAAAAGAATTACCTACTTAAAAATCTTTACTATATAGAACCTACATGCAGCTTTACAACTTTCAGTTTAAATCTACCATCTAATTTAATCTTCAACTTGAGTAGGTAAATCCATACTTATATTCTCTTTAAGGAGAGGAAGTCAGGAAAATGATTACTATGCATTGCCCAGTTCACAGTTCTATTGTTGTTAGTAAAGATGTAATCAGCATGTGAGCCATGTGAGCCCTTTTGTACAACTCTTACAATACTTCTATCATCCTGCTTCCCAAATATGTTGCAATATTTATCTTACTCAACTTACTTTACTCTTCCTCTTTTATTTCACAAGTGTTAAATTCCATTCATCAGCTTATCTAAAAGTACTGTTATAAAGGATTTTTAAGGACTGTAAAAATATTAGAATACATTTTATTTATTATTTTATATTCTTGAAGTAAAAAAAGCCTTTACACTTGAATACTTAAAAGAAAATTACTATGAAAATTAATGGCATAAAAATTAAAAATTTTGGTAATTTAAAAATACAATAGAAATAAAGTTAAAATATATTTAAAATTTTTGAAATTGTCAAATATCAGAGGACTATTTTCTTACTAGCTAATAATGGACAAAAAGCATACAAAAAGATAAATAAGGTTGTTATCACAAATATTTTAAAATATATATGGCTAACATACTTAAGAACATCGGTTAAACTTCACTCAGATATTTACCAGTAAAAAAAGAACTTGCTAACAAACTTAACTTCCTGTATAAGCCAGCGTGAGTGAGGAATGGAAATACACTTTCTCACACATTGTATTCATGCATGAAAAGACATTTGGTAAAATTCTCGTTATAGAAAAAAGTACACACTTTTAACTTAGAAGTTATACCTTTCACTATTTACTTGTATCTTAGCAGCAGTAAACAAAACTATATGTACATGAATATTTAGCATGGTTTTTGTAAGATCAAGATCTAGTAACAATAAAAAACATCCATTAAATAGGAGATTGGTCATTTAAAAGACAATACATTATTCATTATGGATTTTTATATAATTTTGGAAAAAGACAAAGTTTATCCATGATATGAGCATATCTCCAAGGCACATAATATGAGAAGAGGCAAGTTGCAGAAAGTATAATTCAGTATATGTAATACCTCATATACATATGCATATAAGTTTAAAATTCATGAAATTACTGGGGTGGAGAGAACATAACTAAAATTGGTTACTTTGGAGGAATAGAATTGGGGGTTAAAAGAGACTTCCTATTTTACAAGTTTTAATATTTCTTAGTTGTCCGTGTTACTTTAATAAAACTCTAAAATAAAAATTCACTTAATAGCCAATGGTCACCATATCAATTATTTATTAAACAGATACTAAGTGTCAGGCTCTGCACAAAGTCCTTCTCAATCTTTACAAAAATTTCAGACTGGAAATATTTCATTGCAACTAAGAGACAAAGTAGTTAGGAAGTGATGAATGCCAAATTCAAACTCAGGTTCACTCACTTTCACATCAAATGCTCTATCCCAGTCAAACCATTGATTATCATGGTATAAACAAGCAGCATAATAACTCCAGGTTTCTAGTTATTTTTCACTCCCTTTGAAATATTATTATGGTTGTCATTAATCATTGTGTGAGTTCATTCATTCAACCAGCTTGAGCCTGGTCTGGGCTCTTGGGATTCAGCAGTGAATTAAACAATGTGTTTCTCTCCTCACTCTCCTCACAAAGCCAACATTCTAGCAGATGCAGAGGCTGGGCTAGAAAATAAATCAAGTGCATGTCTCATGGTGCTGTGTTATGTCATCTACAGAAAATAAAGCAGAGAAGGGAGAAAAGGAACAAGAGCCCAATGGGAAGGGACATACATTTGAGTGCCTAGTAATCAGGCACCTGTCAAATGTTGTACACAACTCACCTCATTTAGTTCTTATTATTACACTCTTACTGAGTTTTCTCTACTTTTTAATTAAAAAAAGAGTAAGTAGTTATTTACCTCCTAATCCCCAGTCATTGTAACAAGTGCCTGGTAACATCAGGGTTAACTCACATCTATCTGATGCAAGCTCTATGTCGTCTCTCACACAAAAAAAGAGTTCCCAAAGAACTGTGCCTAAGTTGACTTTATTACATTGAAAATTTTATCTTTCATTCTACTAAATTTATCAAAGTTTATGGTGGGTTTACATAAGGCAAGAGTTTACTGTCATATAATAAAACACACCCCTTTAATACTGTGGCTATATAGTATAGCCACAGTATTTTTAGAGTATATGTAAAGATGAAAATTTCAACATTCTTTACTCTAAAATGGATGCAGCATTTTTCTGCCTTATTGTTCAAGGTGTATATTTTGCTTAAAGTCTAAATATGTGGTTGTAGATTTTACTTAGCTGTGTGCTTTCCAGGTCTTGTGTGCTAAGCTACTTAGGAACTGTTGTCTATAGGATGGAACACTTAACAGCTGCTTCTAGGAATGTAAATTTGATTCTTTGAACTGATCATGGCAGTGTGTGACATTTTCCACTCCAGAAACAGTCAGAGAATTTGGGTGGATAGCATTAGGCTTCTGATTAAATACGTATCCAATAAGTTCAATGTCAAATTAGGCATCTGTTGATATTGTGCATGTATTTATTCTGAAATACCTTTCTCTAATATTGTTCATATTTTCATTTTAATTTATTCTTTCATATTTTTGTATGTGTGTATGCACACATGTGAGAATTAGGTTAAGAAGAAAATAAATCAAAGCAGTTTAAGTAAATAAAATTAATATGCTTAATCAAAGTTAGCTATTATACTACTACACAGTAGCAGTATGATATTTATTTTGGAATATTTTTATTAATACAAGAAAGATAGAAGGTCACTATTATAAAGAAATTATCTTTCTAAGGCAAATAAAATCTCTGTAAGTTATTCTTTTAAAATGAAAAGCATAAGTTATAATGAGATTGTGCAAGGCCATTTCTACTTTACCCTAATTAAGTAGTCTGAAATTTGAAAAAAACCCAAATATTTAAAGTATTTTATAACATGTTATTAATTTTTAAATAAATGTATCAGTAAAAATACCTTGGAAAAGAGAGCAATGCTTGAGAAAAAAAAAGAGTGCTTTGGATTCCTTCCTTCAGTTGTATTGCACTGCTAACATATGATAGGATTTCCCACATGTCCAGAAGGAACAGCAAGAGCAAGCCAGTGGTAAGGACTGGTTTAAATATGATGTAATGAGCTAAATATATTTCTGCCTGTTTTCATTAAGTCTTTTTATTTCAAGTTTGACTTGGAAGCATTTATTTAGAGGCCTGTCTGATAGGTGAGAATTTAACCTGAGGATTTTGATTTTGCTTGTAGGATTGTAAAAATTTCATTGTAAATATGGATTCTTACTATAGAGTATCCTCCCATCCCAAATCACAAGAACTTCTATTTTGATTAGATTTAAAATTAATGACTGTCTTTTAAATTAATTCATGAATATACTTTTATCTATATTACAAGGTCATTCTAAAGAGTAATTGTATTTAAAAGTTATTTAACAGTTATATTTTGGCTGAAAACATTAAGAGAAATTTAATATTTTGATTTTTGTAGGGGGATTTTGCTATAGTCATGAAACTTTTATAAAACTAACAGAAAAAAATGATAAACAGTTAAGCACTTCTTGTTGGAACAATAGACTATTTCCTTTTTAAAAGTCTGTTTGTCATCCTTGTTGAGTGACAGAGTCTCCAACTACTTTTAAAATCAGTATTCTCAATGTACTTCAGAGTAGTGCTGCATAAAGAAGTGTATTTTCTCTAAACTGAATGAGTTTGGCAAGATAATCATGACAGAGAAGTGGAACTCTGATTTACCTTCCTAATTTATACTTTTCACACTCATATGCCCAATTCATCATTTGGAGTAATGATTGTGTGGTGAAACAGAATACATTAGAAGCAGCTTCAGGTCCTTTCTCCTCCCTGGCTTCTGACTTACTTGGATGGGAAATGGCCAAAAATAAAAAAAAATTATAATAAAATGCTGTTGATTATCTCAGATATGGGTAATAGGTCTTCTCCAGGCCACAAAAATAGATGCGTAAGAGCTGTGCCAGTAATGTGATATGTGTGGGTTTTTTTCCTCTTTTTTTTTTTTTTTAATTTCCTCTGGCAACCAACCACTCACTGGGATTTGACGTTGTGTGTGTGTGTGTGTGTGTGTGTGTGTTTAAGCATATTTAAACTCACACACTTTCTGTAATGAGGGTTTCAGTGTAGGATTTTTTTCTGCAGAATACCACTTGGTCCTACTAAGAATTATTTGTTCAAATGTTGGAGCATTTAATTGAAAAATACTTCTTAGATTTTTTAAAGGTAAGTCGTATGATTTTTTTTAATAAAAACATTTCTATCTCCCAAATGATAAGAGATGACACTACTATATAAACACTCTTAACAAGTTATGTAACAACAACAAAAAGCAGTCGCTGTTTTCTTCAAGTCACTAGGCTTTATTAAAAATTAGGTTTGTGTTGTCGTCCAAGTTATTAGTCTACATTGTATGTTTAAAAGATATTAAAATCTTGTTTAATGGTAAAAGATATTTCACTGTTTTATGCTTAAAATGTTTTTCTGTAAACATTTATCTGCTAATATTTTAAATTATTTACAATCCAATTAGATTGTTGTGAAACTTTCATTGCATACTTAGGCTATTTAAACATGACTTTTAATTTAAATTATGAATGAAAATCAATATAGTAGGATTAGTTATTATAAATTATTTGCCACTCTATGTCAACTTTCTCTCTAGTATGCAATTGTTAATTACTTACTACTTTATATAGTCATTAGCTTATTTAATTCTCTATCTGAATTGGACAATTTTTGGTGAACTTGACTTTGTCTACATGGTTATATACAGTGTGTATTTGGATATGTTCTTATTAAATATTTTTTAAATGAGCAAGCATTATAATTGCTCTGGGAATGGTAAATTATATTGATTCCAAATAATGATTCTAGATTTTATCACTAGCCCAAGTGTAAATTATATAAAATTTGGTAGCAGAATAAAAAATAAACCAAAATTGATGGTTTGGGTTACTTAGGAAGCTTACCACAAATATCAGAAAATTTTTTATTGAGTGATGATATTAAGTGTAAATAAAAGATAAATCATCCTGAAGAAATTAAAAGTTTCAAGTTAATTACAGTAAGTGAATCTATTTATAACTGTAAGTGGCATACATTTTCTAGAATAAATCTCAGTTATTGGAATTGAATAACATGTTGAAATATATTTTTTAATTGTTTGCATGTATTTTTCAATTCACTCCTATGTAATTTTGTTAGTAATGTCTTGTGAATGTAAAATCAATATTGCTTTTAATATTGGTTCACAACCAAAATGAAATTCTTAAAAAGTTTCATCATATAGAGACTCTAGGTGTCCATTGAAATTTATGAGAGAAGAAATATGAAGATATTTTTTCATTTATCAGAATCATTATTAAACCAGAACAACATATCAGATCTACAGTCTTCATATAATAAGTTTGGTTGGGAAGAAAATCACAATTATAACTGGAGAGGGACTTGTAAAGGCTATACTGAGAATTTTGGAATTTACCTCAGAAATTATAGTTGCAAGCCTTATTTCTTATGAAAATATTTGGCCATGTTTACTCAAACACATTTGAATATTATGGATTTTTTTGTTCCTGAAGGAACTAATTTTGTAACTGTTTTCTGATTTAATTACAATGTATTTTAGTTCGCCAGCTTAAATCATGGCTAAAAGTTTTGAGTAGCATTTTCTAACCTAGTAACTTTCTGTTCATTTGCATGCTATTCTAAGTTTTCTGTGTATAAAAAGAATAAATCATCTCATCCAATTATATTATAACCTAAGTGTTTTGCAAATAAGCATTCCTGTTTGCGGAAACTATATACATTTATCTGTTGTTTATGCTAATAGTAAATATGAACTAACATTCCACTATGGTGGTTTAATATAACATTTTATAACATTTCAAGATAACAATAACATCTGCTATAATAGGAATTTTTATACATATCTCATTTAATTTTATTTGATATTTGCTACCTTATTTAATGTATAATATATCCATTATAGAGAAAGCTGAGTCACAGGGAAACTATAATATTAAGACTCAGAATTAAACCAAATTATTTGACTTCAAAGTAAAAAATCTTAACCATTACAAATCTTATAATATCTTATTATTATAGTAGAATTTGGGGTGGAAAATAGACAATAGCATTCCTGCCTAGGGCCCAAAGCTTAAGGATGGCTCTAAACCTAAGCATCTATGACTGCAATCATTTCAAACCTCTAGTATTGCCTGTAATCAAGTACTCCAAAAAGTATTCCAAAAGATAGGCTTGTTTCTAGACAGGCCCTTTAATATATGAAGTCCAATATACTTAATGGTTTTAATTTTTTAAGACTACCATCAAAACAAGTTTTATATTGTAATATTTGAAAAGTACACTTTAGAGAGGTATATTATTGTTTCATATTTTATATTCTTTTCTATTATATATTTTTATCTCCATATATTCTGATAGAATGGAATGGTGCTTAGAAATGAAAAGGACTGTGTGGTAACTTCAATAAGAAAAGAGGTTTGAGATCTCTTAATCTAGTTTTTTAAGAACACTTCGCAGAGCACTTGGTTCTGTAGGGATGACTCTTGGGCCAAGTGAGGTGTGGCTGGGACAGGAAACGGTCACAGTTTCTGCAACCTTTTAACAGAATGGCTTTTCTTTTAACTATCTTTATATATTGGGATTATAAATAAAATTTATTCTTTCATAACTTTATTGTATTTTCCTATTATCACTTATCCCCCTTATCCCCTCTCTCACCTTCACCCCTCTTCCTCCCTCCACAATCACCACACTCTTGTCCATGAGTCTTTTTTTTTCTTGTAAAATTTAATTTGAAAGAATTCTATCTTTAAAACAGAAGTTTATGCAGTATTTATCTAAAGCTCTTATCTATCCACAGGATAAAACATAACCAGATTTAAAGGATTAACTTAAGCCCATTTCAAGTCACTTGGATTTGAATCTGAACCTTTACCAAGACTCTTTAGCAAGTTTCTTTACCAAGAAATCATGGCTTTGCAACGTACTTAGATGTGGTGTAGGACAAGAGTGTGAAAAGGGATTTAATTAATTTTAAAAGCTAACTCCCATCATTGATATCCAATGTGTTCAGCTAATCAACCCCCTATGTAAAAGTTCAAAGTGGGTTTTGTGAGCAGGTAGTGTATTTATTAGGTGAGGAAGACTGTGTGTCAAAAGAATACTTGTGTGTATAGTGAAGAACAGAGCTATGTGGTTTTCTGTGTTAAGGAACTTGGAAGGAAGGCTTACAAATAGAATAGGAAATTGGAGGTATTGCTTGCTCATGAGTAAGAAAATGACCTTCAGGTCCTGGTATTCATTCATGGTACAAGAACTCTTGCAATTTGAAACTTTTTAAGTTTTGCAGTTCACATCCCAGGGAATTTTGCCAGGCTATGTTTTTCTGGGTGGAGTTTCTTAGGAAACACAGCTTTATCTACACATGGGAATAATTAGAGTCCCTGGGAATGGGAATCTTCTGACTTTCTGATGTATGTATTGGAAAGACTTCTGGTGGCTCGGTCTTTCAGTTTCTATGACTAGGTTTTCAACATAGTGGAAAGGCATGATCATAAATTCATTCCAGAGATGTTCCAGGGGTTTGACAGTGGAAACAGAAAAATTCCATTCTTTATTCCTTCAGGGAAATCCCAAGGGAATAAGATGCCCTCACTAATTCTGCAGAAGGAATTGGATTATTATCTATAAACTGAGAAGATACAGCTTATTTTCCTCTTTTCTTTGTTCCTCACAGGAGTTTCAATAATAAGTTTTATTTTAGGTACCTGTGATTAATGTTTGCTTTTTAAATGTAGGTACTTTAAATAAGAAGAAGATTACTACAGATACAAATGCCTATTCTGTATGAAGGAAAAAATAATAATAAAGAAAAAAAATTAATCCCAAATTAGCAAGTGAGATAAACTACCTATTTTAATAGATAAAGAGCTGTGTTATCAAGAAGACCAAGTGTGTAAGATTCAAAATTTTCATATTCTTAATATTTAACTTTGAAAGAAAAGTGGGAACAAACTACATTTTTTTCCCCTGGGAGTAAACATGAGTGGAAAAGCCATTGAATAGAATGTGCTCTTAGCCTGAACTTTTCCCTTATGTTCTCAGTACATGTATTACATAATATGTTTTGTTCTCCTTTGCCTATGGTTAATAAAACTGATTATAATTCTGTAGTATGAAGCATAAGGTTAAAGTGTAATTACAGTAGCAATACTTAAATACTCATGATGACATCAAGTTACTGAAGGATAACAAATCAACCTAAGTATGTCCAGTATCTTGCTTATGCTTAGGAAAACAATGTTGAAAACTTACAACATGTTAACAAAAGTGAGTCAATCAGAAAATCTGAAAGAGATAAACTTAATCTCTTTCTCTCTTTCTCAAAAATATTAGTATTGAAGTGATGTCAGATTAATACTTGTATCTTTGTGTATATATCATCCAGACTGGTGTTGGACTATAATAACTTTCTAACATATGACTCTACAGAATAAATTTCCCAACATTTCTGTTTTCTGATGAACCTGATTCAGTAGCATAGTTGTGTAACTTTCACTTCAGTTTCAAGTTCTCCGGAAGCAGAGTCTGGGCAGTACCCAGGTATCCCCATTACTTGACATGTCTGGGCCCAGTGTCCTTAGAGGTCATAATGGTGAGTTTTCAGGTTTAGAGAAGGATGCATTAGAGAACATGTGCTGCTCCCTGGGTCCTGAAGTGGACACTCTGGGGACTGTTTGCTCCTTGCAGAAACTCTTCCTTGTACTACAGGGGGCTGCTTTAATAAAAGAGGAAGATTCTGGATAAGTCAGATAGATTCACGGCTACAGTATGGCATAGAGTCTGGAAAGGAGCAAATATATGCACACATTTATCTCTTTAAGCAACAACAGAATTGCACATTTTAAATCATTGTATATTCCATTTGTCAGATTTGCAAATGACATTGATGTTATATAATTTGTAGCGAAGTTTATGTAGGACATAAAATAACTTTCCTAAAAGGATGACTTAATCTTTGAGTTGTTTTTTTAAAAAAGATTCATGATGTTATATTAACAAAACTGGAAACTGACACTAGCTTTCCTGTCTCAGTTTTTAAATGGGCGTGTAAAGCCATAGGTCTCTACGGGGATTGTCCTAGAGCATCTTAAAGGTGGAAAGGAGAGTGTCAGAGAAACCAAGTTAGAAATCAGATTCTCTGGGTTCTCACCACTGCTGTAATTGTAAAAATTTGGTCTAATGGTCTTCCATGTAAGAATTTGAGCGAAGACTGGTTAAGCTGCTTAAGTTAAAAACTGATCAGATTTTAGCTCTCTTCTTTACACATAAGGAAAATGAGGTATAGAGAGATTAAAAGATTTGCCCATGATCACCTGTCAAGAGTGGCAAATCAGTTTTTGGTTTAATCTCTGGTCTGCTAATCTCAGTTACACGAGTTTGGATCCCTGTATTTGATTGCAGCTGTAGATTATAACTTGCAAATGAGTGTTGGGGGATTAACTATGAAACAGGCTTTCAGTAAATTTTCCCTAATAAGCTATCTTGAATATGGTTGTTTATAGTATACAGAACAGCAAGATGATATTCTGTACTTAGCAATTACTATGGTTGTTTAAAACATTATGTTTTAAGAAAAAAAATAAGGTGCCATACAGTTATGTTTTGCAAAGTAATTCTATTTGATAAGATGCAATCCTTTTATCAACTTTAAATAATTTGGTCTGTTGTATTATGAAAAACCTGGCCAAAGCTGTCAGAGGTAGCATGTTGTATGATTTATATGGAAGGGAAAGCTATTCTTCATACATGACCTTCAAGCAACGAATAAAAAACAAACCCCATTTGCTCAGTGAGATAAAATTCCACAGGAAAAGTAAGTCACATGTTTAGATTTTTGTGGTTTTCTTTTACATCCAAAGAAACAGGTGACACCAGTGGCCATGCAGGCATCTTAGCTGCCAGGACCTCAGTGTGAATGAGTTTGTTGCATCCTGACTTACCGTGGAAGTATCCCAGGTATAAGGCATGGGTAGAGGCATGTTACAATAGATAAGGAGAACCAGAAATTAATAACTAAAATTGCCATGGAAAATTTTGTAACATTTATCTTTCTTCATTTTAGGAAAAAAAGTCTATTTTTTCTCTTTTTCTTACCATTATTTTCTTAGCTATGCAAATAATATTTTTGAAAAATTAAATGGTTCCTTAAGTGGAAATAAATACTAATAAAATTGTAAGACTGGTAAAACTGATGTAACAAAACTGGGGAGAGAAATCTGAGACCATGACAAAATGTAATTTTTATTATTGCATTTACAATGTTGACAAAAATATGCTGTGTATGACTTTTTCTTTTTGTAGCCTGCATCCTGTTGGCATTTATGTTTTCCTTAGCTGTAGGCAGTTTGAAGTAGGGAAGTTTTGTTTATAAGCTACAGTGCACACTCTGACTGCTTATCAATGTCAAGTCAATTCTATTTTTTAAAATGCTGTTACAGTGATAAAGCTCAGATGAATGTGGTTTCAAGTATTAGTAACAAGTAATAAACTCTTATCAACCTTGTGACCAGAGGATTCTCTCATTCCACCAATTGTTTTCTTCCAATCTTTATGAAGTAACCACATAGTAAAAAGATAGCAAAAATTGAGGAAGTGAAATACATACTGTCAGAAACTAGTTTATTTTAATGGATTGGCATGAATCAGTTGCCATGACAATATAAAGGATATTGCAAATGAATATGTAAAAAATTCTTTGAGACTAATAACAAAGCAATGCTTAGCATTAAAACAAGGTACCCTCTACATGTATATTTTCTTGAGATTCTTTTCACCTTTAATCTATACAAAAGTCAATTATTAATAATAAAATTGAAAGTAAAGAACATTTCTTCAAAATATTTCAGTGTTTTCAACAATTCAAGAAACAACTTAGGCATGATGTCAGTGGTCATGAAATGGGATTTTCTTTCATAGTAATGATAATGATTCTAGTAGTAATTTTCTAGTATTGTATTTTCCCAATTTACCCATGCTTTTTTTGTGTTTTAACAGCTGACACATGATTAAAAGAATTGATTTTTTCTGAGACTCATCAGATCACTTTCTGTAAAGTCCATATCTTTCTGTTCATTTGCGAATAAGGTATCGTAAAGAAAAAGTCTTACCATACTAGCTTAGCACTTAGAGAAGTTATCAGTCTCCCCTCATTTAGTTTTCAGGAGATCTCCAGGCAGGGTGTGGATGGCTACTTGAGCTGAGAAGCCAGAGGGTGAGGATGCAACCAAGTGTTGCCAGATGAGGGAAGATAGCTGAGGGTGAGAGTACAGTCAGCATGTTGTCCTGAGATAAGACCTGGACATTACATATCCCTAAGAAGAAAATTAAAGAGGAGAATTTTTGAAGAAATGCTGTATATGATATCTTTAATTTTTACCACTGGTAGGTAGTAAAAAGCAAGAAAGGAGAGGACCTAATCAAGGAAATCAGTTTCTCAAAACAGAAAAGTATGTGCTTATTGACAACTGGGAAAATAATCTGTTTCAGTAATATGTTTTCTTTGAACTTTGATCTGTTTGTATTGATATTTAAGCTTCTGCTTTATGATCTCTTTCTAATCATAGAACCAGAGCTCTTGGAAACCTGGGAATTTAAAAGAAGCAGGTGCTGAACCTTAACTTTCCTCCTCAACAAGAAAAATGGGCTGCGATCGTAACTGTGGGCTCATCGCTGGTGCTGTCATTGGAGCGGTTCTAGCTGTGCTGGGAGGCATTCTAATGCCTGTCGGAGACATGCTGATTGCGAAGACAATTAAAAAGGTACAAGTAGTCTAAAGGATTTTTTTTCCCTCATTCTGATTCTTTCTATCTTCTGTCCCTTATTTGCTTTGGGTACCTGTTTTATATTTCATAGTAACTGGCAACTTTGTGTCTTCAATACAAAAGTGATTATGAACCACCATGATGGTACATGATAGAGAAATGTTCAAATTATAATGCATATTTACCAAGAATAAATTGCTGTCTTAAGTATAAATATTTAAATTCTGATAAAAGCTATTAATAGGTACACAGGTTATTGAAATAACTGTTTCTGTCTGAAGAGTATGATGGTATGCTTTTGAATAAAAAAATAGGTGAGTGCATTTTGTGAGGGTACAAGTATAAACAGTAGATGTACTTTGGTTAATACTGAAGAAAGTATATATTTATAATATATAACATATATACATATATAAATACATATTATATAGTCACTGAAACAATTGTTTCATAATGAGTCAGGAATTTTTGGTAAAACTGGTAAACTTTTTATTTGGTAAACCACTGCTTTTTATAATATTTGTAATAAAACATGTCTTGCAAATGTTTTACAAATATTTCCTATTTATAAAGCTTCATGTTTGACTCTTAGGAAATACTTTCAGAAGTGTTATATAGGGCATGTCCCAGTGTTTTTGCAACAAGTAGACTGTAGTTGTAACTAAATTAGAGAGGTTTGCACAACAAACTAGAATTTCCCACCCTGTCTCCTTTTACTCAGCTTCACACTCACCAGTGTTAACTGGTGGAGGAAGGAAGACTAGGTTAAGGATATACCGACTGCTGAAGTCCTAAACCAGAGATGGCAAGTTCAAATGGCTTCAGAAGTTTAGAGACAGAATTAAAAATGAGAAATAAAAGAGGGAAGCTACAAAGAACAAGATAAAATGAAGAACAGGGACTATTGTGAACTTGAGAATGTGTGCCTGCCTGAGGCAGGTATGTTTCTTTTTTCAAAACATAATTCTGGCCAAATAAAACATATCTGAGCATTGGCCTCAGCTCTCAGTCTGCTTACATGTCAATGGGCTAGACAGAGTGTTAATAAGCAGCGTGCACAATGGAGAATGACAAGGATTAAACCATAAAATGGGCCACACCCACCAACGCCTACTGAACTTTCTCTTACTGCCAACATGTTTATCTCCCTTACCCATTCATTATTAGCACTTGGCATCTTGCTCTTAATAGGAATATAAATAAATACCATTATATTTCACTGAACCATTGACTTAATTGACTAATAGGAAGAATTAATTTTAAGTATAGTCATTCATAATAAAAGTTACTATTTTCTGATATATCTTTCTTTAGCTAAAATTATGGTTTTAAAATTAAAAGAAATCATCTCACTGTACCATTATAGCTGGCATTTTACTATAAAGATAAAAATAGAGGACATTTTTTAGGTTATAGTTCTTATGCTTGCATGATATACTTGCTCCATAATAATACAATCATTTATAGACTTTCTGTCACTAACAAATCATAAATCTTCAGTCCTATGAATTTCACTGAAAAAAAAATATTATAATTTGAATGTCATCTATTTCTTTGGAATTCCCAACTTTCTTGATGTAGTTTGGTAGAGATGGACAGACGATAGTGAGATAAAGCTCATGTAACTGTGTGAGTGGGTGTTGTGTTTGCTGACTATTCTGTAAACGGTGCTCCCTTCTTGACCTCCCATGAAGAGAGAACAGACTCAATGTGTGCACCAACACACAGACAACTCCTCTTTTGGAAGGGTCTCCAGAAGAGAGGTATCACAATGATCTCCCACTGCATAGCATTATAGACTGAGACTGTTTATTTCTGATACATAATTGATGATTAGTAGCTAATTATTGATCATAATTTTTTCTTCATTCAACAATATTAGTACATATAGACTTTCTGTTAGGTGGCAGACAAGCTTTTAGCATCTATTTTAATTGTTGAATATTTGTTTCCATGCTCACAATAACTAATTTGCTCTTGTATAGGGACTGGAAGGATAAAATAAAATTTTTTCAACCAATTTAAGATTAAACTGGGGGAAAGCATATTGTAAAAAAAAATATAGAGACCTGTGAGACTCTGAAACTGAATTCTATAATGTGTAATATGGAAACATAAGTGCTATTTAGAAAGAGAACTCTCTGTGTATCCAATAGCTTCAGGAAGAAGGTGAGATTTGGGTTGGATTTTGAAGAACTATAGAATTTTGAAAGTTCAGAGAAGGCGGCAATTACAGGCATGAAAGGGTTGATTAACATTATGGAAAAGTTGTGAAAGTTCAGTTAAATATTATGAAGAAGAAAGGAAGAATATAGAAGATGCACCAAAAATATGGGATTAATAAGGGATGATTAGAGAGACAACATCATGGGGTAAGATTTAAAATGCTTTGAACATCAGGCAGAATAATATTTAATCAATTATGTATAGTCAATCATTGTTGATGTATGTTTTCTGGTAGATGTGTAAAATACAACAAAACCTACAGTTGGAGATCAATATCATCAAATGGCTAGAATTTATTTAGTGCTGCTAAGAGGTTCATGTGTATAATTTACTTAATGTTCATAAATAACTATAATAAATTATTATTATTTTACCCATTTTAGAGTCACAAGACCTTAGAACAACTTGCTAGCTCACCTAGCCAAAAGGAGGAGGAATCAGCTTCCAAACCTAGGCATCTCAGGGCAGAAACTAGATGATACACAGTCTTGTACTCTATCTACAATAGAAAGTGTTGGAAAGTAAGAAGACCCAAAAGAGCAAAACAAGGAAAAAACTATGTAGGGTGTGACCACTTTCAAGGAGAGTATATGACTCTCCTTTAATCTTTGCACACTCTGTAACAAAGCCAGTCTGTTCTAGTGGGATACAGTGCATAGAAAGAACTGGCGGGTGGTGAGATGCAGTGGCCATTTGAATGGAGGGACTAAGTTAGGAGAGAGAGGAGTACAAACTACGTGACATCTGGTCAAGTTACTGAGAGAAATGTATACCTTAGGAGACTACAACACAGAGATTTTATGAACAGTTTCATATGAACATCAGTGCCTATTTCAAAGGTCAGAGTTCAGATAGATTTTATCATTACTATACAGATTACAGATAAAACTAAACAGTACATTTCCTTGCCAGCTTGAATGTAGAGACAAAGGAACAGAGAAATCATTATATGATTTGTGCATAATTTGGTGGTTGAAGACAAAACAGAAAAGGGAAAGATATAATTTTATATGAAGAGATAAAAACAAGAGTATAATACTTTGGAGCTAATAGGAAGCCAGCCCTCCAGGAAAAAGAATAAAATGTACTCAGACAGAAGAAAATTAAGGAAATAATAGTTAAAACATGGTCACTAAGATTTTGGAGTATAATTTCAGTAGGATAGGGTAAAAAAGAGGGGGTGAAATATAAAGAATATTTTCCCTTCTTGTTTTGAAATGAGGTCTTTCTGTGCAACTTTTTACAAGACCAAAGGGAATAGTATGAATCTAGGCTTTGGAAGAAGGAAGAGGTACAAAACTGAAATTTGGGAGAAGAATGAGTTCCAAAAACCTATTAATAGTATACACTGTTATCCCAGCTACGTACCCTTCGACTAAGACATTATAAGAATCCCTTCAATGATCAGGGTCTGTGGTCCATTTATAGCTGAGCCTGATTTTCCTCTCACATTTCTATTATCCATGTTGAGCTTGACAATTTTACTCATCATATAAAGATACTGGGACTGTTTTCTTAAATAAGATTTTTCTCTTTAGTATTACAAAGCTATATTTTTAATGAGACTGACATATGTATCTGTTCAGCTATAGTAAAAGTCAAATGTCTGAATTAGGCACAAACTCAGAGAGCCAAGTGTCTTACCCTAGCCTCAGGAGCACTTAGGTTAATGCCGTTGTTTTGTGAATATTTCACACAAGTTTTCATACTGGTCAGTTTTTTGTTTACCATTAAAACTCATTGAAGATTATTTTCTTCATTTAATTAATAGCACACTGGAAAAGTTACTACCTGTATACAAGCACCATTAAAAACATTAAAGTGTTTAATTGCAAAATATCAGAAAATCATCTTATATTGTTGTTATTTATAAACTATAGAGTCAGAATTCTATAATATCTTTCAGTTCTAAAAGATGTCACTCTAATACTAGAATTTCAAATGGTCTGAAAGCTCATTTTCCTTCCTGTGTGTGTGTATTTTTTAATTTTCATCTAAGGATATGTTTATTGATTTGAGAGAGAGAGAGAGAGAGAGAGAGAGAGAGAGAGAGAGAGAGAGAGATCAATGCGAAAGAGAAACATTGATCATTTGCCTCCCATATGTGCCCCAAACAGGGATCAAACCCACAGCTGAAGATATGGTCTGACAGGGGAGACAACACACAGCCTTTGGAGGCACAGGGTGCTACTCCAACCAACTGAACCGCCCAGCCAGGGCCATGCATATATTTTTTACTCTTTATTTCCAAGGAATATTTTCTAGGGACTTTATGCTTTTTTTTATGGATTATAGCAGAAAACCTTCTTACCAGCATTCTGTCCTGTGGTTCTTAATAGACTTGTGTTGAGTCAGAATGTTTATGTGACCTTGCTAGGGAAACTAAAAGTCAATGGCCTAAGCTGACACACATATGGAAATTACCAAGTCACTTTAAAAAAGGTCAAAGTTCTCCCACGATTTATAAGGTAATCTGTCACTCAACTTTGTTAATATCACTTGATAAGAGCTTAGTGAATATTGTGTAACATAAATAATTTTAAGTAAATTTTAATTTAATTTCCCTATTATATTAACTATAGAACACGAAATAGAGAATACATCTTTCTTTTTATTTATCCATTAAAAGGCTAATATTCAATTATATCATCACTTAATTATATCATTCTTTTCTCCCTCTAGTTCTTGAAAAATATAATTTTTAGTAGCTTGTAATAAATGCTTTCAAGTAAAATAAATTAAAATAATAACTGTTTATGTTCATAAAATGATTAAGCCTTTGAATTAATAGATCATATTTTAATAATATAAATTAATTTACTTTTATATTAATTTCACAACATATGCTTATAGTATTTCTAGATATAATAAAATAATTTGTACATTTTATAGTATCTGAAAAGTTTAAACAGAAATGCCTGAAGTGTTAGTTGTTAAGGAATGTAGACTTTTAAAAAATTTAATGACAACATATAAGTACATGAAAGAATCCAAAATAAAACTTAAATTAAGGTAGCAGTATACAATGGATTAAACACTAGAAATATTTTCATTTTAACAATAATAAAATCACTTAAAAGCAATGTTTCAAGAAATAGCAGGTAAGAATATATAATTCTCTTCCTCTAGCCCAGTGTAATATCAACATACTTTACTTTTCATGCCAAATATACAAATCTCCCAATTTTAGGTTCTTACATACATTCTTGCAGGCTAATTTGGGGGGCTTTAGAAATACTTAATTCAACCTGATTTAGTACATTTTATCCTGGGTTTTAATCGATAACTTGATAATCTGAGACTAAAGCCAGTTTTTGATTCAGCACCACTAATATTCTAACATACTCTTTTCTCCCAGTGCACACACACAGGTGCATGTGAAAATGAGAAATACTTTTGGACATGGGGAAATGGCTTGTAGTGGTCCTAACAGAGCAAATTGTGGCAGTGAGTGTGGAGACAAAGATTACCTTCAGTATGTTTTTGCTTTTTAAGGAAGTTTTGATTTCACTGGAGTACAAATGTAGAATGATTAAGTAACAGAAAAACAAGTTTCACAGGATGTTACATGAGTTATTGACACATGACTTGTTCAGCTAGTAAGTAATATAAGTGAATCAGTTAAAACAGTTTGTGAGTAAATTATATTAGCATTTTCCCTCTAAAGAATAGATAGGATTTGTATAGTGATAATAGCTAATGTGTTTAATGAATACTTGCTACATGGGCTAACAGTGTCAGCACTATTCTGAGAGTTTATATTTATTAACACTTGTAACAAACTATGAGGATAATTATTTAATTAAACTATATTCAGTTAATTCTGACTTTCAGAAGTACTAATTTCATATGGTTTAATATTATTGTCTCCATTTTACAGATAAGAAAACTGAGGCACAAAGTAATTTAATTACCTGCCTGAGTTTAAATAGTACATGACCAAACTGAGGATCAAACTCACAGCATCTTAGACTCATTCTTTACCACTTCACTCTATGCTTTGAGGGAAGAAGCCACTGTGCTTGGTCAGTGTGAGGGTAGGATAAGGGAATCTAACTCATAGATTAAAATCTGCTATACATGGTTCTTTGCCTCTTTCTGTTTTACAATATCTTTGAGAAATGGAACAATATATTTTCTATAACTATGCCTTCAATACTCCACACATGGGAAGATATCAAAGGCATTGTAATAATTACATATATTAAACTGTCAGTTGTGTAGTACTGTTTCCTTACAATAGCAATAATCAAGTGAGCGTGTGACTAGATAGAAGATATTACTGTCAAAAACATCTGCTTTCAAATTAATGAAACAGAAGTTTCAATGTCTTTCAAACCCAACTGGAGATCATGCCACATGAGTCATCAGGTTGGAATCCAGCCATTTCTGGGGCTGAGTCATCTGTATACTTAAAGTCAGGGACAGATACCGATGCACACATCAACCAAGTGAGATGATCTTAAATTACATTCTTTTTCTGGGCACATAATGATCAGCTTCATACTTCAGATTTAGTGAAGATTTGCAAAATAGGCTAGATAGTCCAAATCCAATTTAAAATTAAGACCTTTTAAATTCACAAAGGATGTAAAATCTTTCGATCCTTTTGGAAAGTACTCGTGACATATTTAGTCTTGGTAGTCAAGGAGTGATTATACAATTTCCTAATACATAGAGTAGTGTTGGGACCAGAGGAAATGAATTCCTATTTTGACTGCTTTAATATTTTTCTTTGTCATTAAACAAATCATGATGCTATGGACACTACACAAAATTGTAGTAAAAATATCTGGTTTCTATATTATCTGCTACTAAATTGTTATATGTTATGGAATCAGATGTCTGTCTTCTCTAAGACCTATTTCTACTTCTGAAAAAATGGATGGGGTTAGATGATGCTAACTTTTTCAGTTGATAATTCGATGCATATACTTTAAATGTTTGCATTTCAGTGTTCCCATTTAAAAAATATCATCAGATCAACGGTTAAGGCAAAGTAATTTGTGGCTCTTAGAGAAAAGGCATATTACACTTACCACGTCCTCTTACGTTAAATGCATATGCATTACAGTTAGGAATGTATTCTCTCCTGCCAAGAACATTCTATCACAGGCTCTTTTCAATTCTGTAAGCCCCTTATTGATTTTCCTTCATTAAGAACTAAAATAAAATATGTGCCTTGACAGGTACATGACAATTGATATTATATTAGTCCTTAAGATTCTTAGAGTGTGAGAGTAACATGTAGATGAATAGGTTTGTGTGTGTGTGTAAGTCTTTTGAAATGGGTAAATTAATACAGCTCTCAGCTTCTATATAGATTTCACCTTCAACATCCTCATTAAACATCTTTACACTTAGAAGAATAGTCATAATACATTATCCATAGGTAATTTTGTCTTAATATTGGGCTTGTTAGTATGGGAGTCAGACTTTCTGTGACCAAATGGCAAGTTTTTCAAGGACAATTGGTTGTAAAAGTAATAGGGTCTACCATCACTTCAGCAACTCCAGTATACCCAGTGTAAATGATTGCAACAGAAGGATTTTGTAATGGTGTTTCAGATTGGTGCTGTGTTCTTCTCTAAGGAATTCCCTTCTTCTCTGCTTTAAGCAATAAGTAGTTTCCTGAAGATATGAAAGTCAATTTGACTTTTACCAACTAAATACAAAGGGGACAGAAAAAAAGTAATAGAGTGGTATAAAAGAGGACTAGTCTAAGGGTCAGAGCCTGGGATTCTCAGTGTGATTCTTCTATGATGTGCCTAAGTTTTCTTTGGACCAGCCACCTGGTTTCTCAGAGCCTCAGCATGTTCTCTTAGAAAATGTGATAATAATGTCCAATGTCCTTTCCTGATCTGTCATTCTATGAATTGATGTTTCCAGGTGAAGGAAACAAATAGATCATATTTTTCCTGTATTCATGGGCTGCTTTAGGTTCATTTTCTGTGACATAGTGTTCTTCCTCTTCCTGTAGCACACTAAGGTAAGTTGAAGATTTCCATCTGGGCATTTTGTCCAAGGTTCATAACTGGAAATACTGCCTGCTACAAATTCACCTTTGTTGGCAGTAGGTACAATAGCTTCTGGCTCACAGAGTGAAAGCTGTGGAAGGCATTTGGGAGAAAAAAATGAAACCCCCTTATTCAACAGAAAATGAAATTAACCCTAAGGGATTTGATGACTTTCCACTCAGTCCCACAGATCCTAAAAAAAAAGGAACAGATTTCTAATGTAGGGTTTCTGATTCTGTCATTGGCATTCTTTTTCCACCACAAAAGGGCATTGACAATTTTTAATGGATTTCATGAAAGAATATTAGGTCAGCTTCCTTATTTAATACTATTATTTAAAACATAGTAATCTAATAATAATGAATTAGCCCTGGCAGTGTGGGACAGTTGATTGGAGCATCATCTCATGCACCAAACAGCTGAGGGTTTGATTCTTTGTTAGGGCACATACCTAGGTTGCTGGTTCAATCTCTGGTTGGGGCAAGTATGGGAGACAACCAATTGACGTTTCTCTCTCACATCGATGTCTCTCTCTCTCTCTCTTTCTTCCTCTCTCTCTGAAATCAATAAATATGTCCTCAGGTGAGGATTTGAAAAATTAATTAGATTTTTATAATTTTTGAAAAAGTACCATTGGGTTGCTGCAAGGATATTGAGAGTTTGGAAAGACATACTGAGCAGGATTTTGAAGTGGAGGAGTCATATTTGTGTTTTTTTTTTAATTTGGAAGCATCTGTTTTCTTAATTTAATAAATGTTAAGTGAGTATCTCCTGAAGTGTCCAAGTTTTGAAGAAAATGAAAAAGCTTCTATTACCACTAAATTTTTCTCTCAGTTTTTCTGTTTTGCCTCATCAATCCAATGCACTGAGGGCAGAAGAAAAGTTAATGTTCTACCAGATAAGAACTTTTTGGAACAGCTTTAATAAAATTTGCTTAATAAATTGTGTTACTGTTGCAATATTGCCATAGAGTTACTCTCTAAGGCTTGCCAATACTTGGCCTTAAGATCAACAGACGTGTGTAGTATTACATACAGATTCTTTGTGTAAAAGGTTAACTAAAGAAGTTGCTATAATATACTTTGTTGAAACATCTCTATTGCAAGTGTGTGGCAAGATTGCAAAGATTCTCATGTACATGGTACTTAATCATGGTTTTTTCATTGGCTAACTAAAGGTTAAAATGCCCAGAAGTGCCCTTCCTTACTACAAAGAAATAACCCAAACTTGTTTTTGTTCTTTTTTAATAGGAAGTTGTTCTTGAAGAAGGTACAACTGCTTATAAAAACTGGGTTAAAACTGGCACAGATGTTTACAGACAGTTTTGGATCTATGATGTGCAAAATCCAGATGAAGTGGCACTTAACAGCAGCAATATTAAGGTTAAGGAAATGGGGCCTTACACGTACAGGTGAGTAAGTCCCCACAAGCACTCTTCCATGGATCCTATGGATCTGTGACAAAGGCTTCCACTTAATAAATGCCATTGATTTGAAATACATTCATACTATCTTGCCAATGGTATACATAGAATATTTTGTTTCTGCCTATATAAAACCCTTATGTAAGGATTTAATGCTTATAAGAAATACAGATTTTAGTGTAAATTGACTACCATCAAATAACTGTCCTATATTTAAGAAGTTATAGGTGTTTTAAACTTGTGGAATATACTCTCTACACCTGTGAAATATGCATTGTTGATAGGAAAAAATCTATCAGAATTTTAAAAACTGGAGTATTTTTAATTTTTTTAATTTAAAAATTGTTAATTTTTAAATTGAATATATAGATTGTATAGGTTCTCCAAGTGTGGTCCCACAGCTAGTAGCATCAGAGTCACCTGGGAACTTAGTAGAAATGCATATTCTCAAACTCTACCCCATACCAAATAGATCAAAGACTCTTGGCTTGGAAACCAGTAGTGATCTTTACAAACCCCTCTGGGTGACTCCAGTACACACTCAAATTTGAGAACCAGAGCATTATATTTATTTTACATAACTACGGTACATGCTAAGGATTTCTATTCAATCTAATTTCCATGTCAAATGGAGGGTTCTATTTATTCAGTATTATATGTTTTTATATATTATATAAGTAAACATATAAATAAATGTAAATACATATATTACATATATAAATATAAAATATATATTACATAGTATTATATATTCATTATTATATATTTTTCCAGTAGTGACACTGAATATGCTGTATCTTTATTCTATGTTCCTAATAGTTTAGCATACTTTTGAATGGCATCTTGGGCTATAAGAATTAAAAGGAAACAATTAGCCAGAACTTTTCATTATGTAATTAAATAAAACTGACACCAAAGGATGTGATGTGATTGATTTGTTTGTGTTCACACAGACCTAGAAACTGGTGACTCCTAGATTTTTGTATATATTTTCTCCTTATTAAGTTATAGACAATCTTTTTTCCCCACTATCAAAGTAAAAAATGGGAGAGAATGAGGTGCTAAATCACTAACCTTAACCAAGGATCAGGTGCATGTTCATAGATCCACATGGGAACACAATTTCCACTGAATCACTTGGTATACAAATATGTGATTTTTCCTCAAGGATTACAACTAGTTATATACCATGATCAGTTCTTGCCACAAAATAGATATCTTAATCATTTCTTACAATTTGTAATTTTAGTACATTATTTGTTTTAGAACATTGTTTGTATAATGTTTTTCTCTCTATGCATTATGGTTCTCAACAGATAACTCACATTCCAAACCTAATGGAATAACGAGAGCAGCGAGGGTGGAGCCTGTTGCAGTAGCACACGACATAGAGAGGGCCCCAAGTCTCCTATCTCTGTGCCCGTGTCTGTGACTATTTACAACTCTGCAAAAAAAAATTGGTTTTTTGTTAGAAAGCAAAAGCTTACCTTAGAAAGTCTTTTTATTTCTTCATGGGCTTATAGTGTTATGTTACTGTCGAAAGCCTATATGAATATCTTATTCAAAACAAAAATGTTGTAGCTATGATGTGTCCTTTTGAAAATCTAGAATTCACATGTGACCTAATGAACATAAAAGCATATTATTTAAAAATTATAACCTGATGAATTGAATACATGTGAGGAAAGAGAATAATCATTAGAATTTGAAAAATTATGTTTTTTGTTTATATTTTTATGTTTGTGGGGAGGTTTTTTTTTTTTTACTTTACAGATTTTACTCATAATATGGGGAAACAATCACAATATTGAATCTAGTGCTAGTCCTGCTCTGATAGCTGACAAGTACTTATTATTCCTAGAGACTTTAACCTCTGTCTCCAAAGGACAAAATGGGGAGTGTGAGATTAGAGATACTAGATTCATTTGGAGAGGCAGTGGTGGGATGGTTGAAGAAGGGAAGATGGATTTGCAGTTAATGTTTATAAACAATAATCTTCTAATTATGTAATAATGTTATAGGGATTTCTGATCATCTTGGGGTCGCCTTGTCTCCATGTCACCAAAATCGAGTCACTCGTGTCTGTTAGGATGCTTTAAACAATGGGAAAACCACGTTTCAGAAAAAGTTAATAGCTTGAGAATCTTCCACCTGTTGAGGTGACCCTACCTCTTCCTAAATTATGCTTGGAATCCAGTATAAATTAGACATATAGAAGGGTATTCTTTCTCTTATTTGGATGATGGCTTATTTCGATGACGGCTGCTTAAGTGACTTTCATGAAATTTTATTGACAAATATGACATGGGTCAAAGCATACAATTTTCTGGATTGAGGTCTTAATTACATATATCCCAACCTACACCATTTCTATAATCTCTATGAATATTTAGTAGTTCCTTCAGGATATTCACAGATCAAACTTTTATTATTTATTTATTTATTTTAGATACTTTGTTTTGTCAGGAATACAAAGAAAGCAGTTTCAGGCAAAATATAAGGGCAATCTCTTCCTTTGACCTTTTTAGCCAGCACTTTCCAAAACCTATATACATTGTAATTTTTAAACAAAAAAAAATGACTGATTATGTTGTTTTAAAAGCACATTCTAAAAACAGGCTTCAGTTTAAACAACTTTTTCTCAGCGAGTGCCATCTACTGGTATAATGTTATAAGTGCAATGTAAGTAAGCTCTAGCATTTAGGTCAAAATATTTTAGCTAATATATACACATATATATTCCTGAAGATTGTAGTATTTCAATTCTAAATATTAATAATATGAAATATAATTTTAAAATACAGTTATATAAGAGTAAAATAGTAATTTTCTAGTAATAAACTGTCCTGGGTGCTATTTTAGATTTTTACATTCCTTGTTTGTCTTCAGTACCTAAATAAAAATAAATAATAAAGTTTTGATGACATTATATTAAAAACAAAATATTTCTAGATAATTGGAAGTTATATTTTTTAAGATTTTTATTTATTTTTAGATAGGGGGGAGAGAGGGAGAGGAGAAGAGAAATATCAATGTATGGTTGCCTGTCACACACCCACTACTGGGTACCTGGCCCACAAGCCAGGCATGTGCCCTGACTGGGAATTGAACCAGTGACCCTTTGGTTCACAGGCTGGCAGACATTCAACCCACTGAGCTACACCAGCCAGGAGCAGTTCTCTTTGGAAAGAATGAGGCCTATTAATTTATTCATTCAAAAAAATTTAATAAGAACTCATCATGCACCAGGCACTGTGCTAAGGTCACAACACACTCATACTCACACCCTACAGAAATTTACATTTTTTAAAGATTTTATTTACTTATTTTTAGAGAGTAAAGAGAGGGAGAAAGAGAGAGAGAGAGAGAGAAACATCAATGTGCAGTTGCTGGGGGCTGTGGCCTGCAACCCAGGCATGTGCCCTAACTGGGAATCGAACCTGTAATGCTTTGGTTCTCAGCCTGCACTCAATCCACTGAGCTATTCCAGCCAGGGCGAAATTTACATTTTTATTATACCTGAGCAAAGAGTATTTTTTCTACATTTCACTCCCATGTTTTTTTTTTCAGTCTTTACCTTAGTTATCTACTTACTTTACATCATACACATTCAAATATATGATGTATACATTATTTTAGTACAATGAAAGATGTGTACATTATTTTATCTCAGTGATCATCTTGTAAGTTAAAATATTTTTCTCCATAATAATCACTCTTCAACACACTTACAAAATGTACTTGGTACTTTGAAGCCTAGAGACATTAGAGCCAAGAGCTTAGAACTAATCAGTATTTAATATATGGGAAGGGGAGGGAAATTGGTCTGAGCAAGGAAATTATCCTTCCTCTCACTTTATAATTCAACCAATCATTCAAATTTCTAAAAATATGCTATGTTCTTCTTATCTTATATGTTCCACTTTCTAACCTATTTCACCTAACTGAACTTCTCTTTGTAATTCAGACCACTTACATGGAATTGCTACAAAATGTGTCCTGACCCTTATCTGCACCTAAAGTCTGTCCCAAGCCTGGATTTCTATCCGTTCTGTTTTTTACGATGGCCTCTGTGTAAACTTCTGTATTTACTTACATTAATTCTCCTTGCTAGGCAAATTTAAGACTCCCTTTTCTAATTTGCTAGAGACTCAGCATTGGCATCTTTACCATTTGAACCTAATTGTTTAGCATTATTTCTGACATATTCTACATACTAAAAAAAAGTTGCACTAATGTTGCATTTGAGAACTAATGTTTACTTTAAACAATAATTTTGAATTTTATTTACTTTTGTATTTCAGAGTTCGCTACCTAGCCAAGGAAAATATAACCCATGATTCTGAGACAAACACAGTCTCTTTTGTGCAGCCCAATGGTGCCATCTTCGTACCGTCAATGTCATTTGGAACAGAGAATGACACTTACACTGTTCTCAACTTGGCTGTAGCTGTGAGTAGGCAAACAGAATTATTTCTTTTAAATTACTCTAAAATCTCATTATTAGAACTATCAATAGATAGTATTTATGTATTCCTAGGTTGTTATATGAATGAAATTTTGATCATTAGAAAAAAAATGAAATAATCAACTGAATCAACCACTTAGAGTGTAGTATTAAAAAAAAATGGGGCTTAACTTTGAATGTCCTTTCCTTGTGGTTGAAACTGCACTCAAATGCATTCATCTAGGGATTAGACAAATTCTACTTTTAGTTCTGGCAAGATTTGACAGTAATTTTGGAGATACAGTTTTTTAAATTTCATTAAACTTAATTCTAGTGTTTAATCTATTTATCTGTTAAATATTTAATAATACAAATGATGTCTTATATAGTGTTTTTTTTTATAGGCTGTACCCCATCTCTATCCAAATTTGTTTATGCAATCAATATTGAATTCACTTATCAAAAAGTCCAAGTCAAGTATGTTTCAAAGAAGAACTGTGAGAGAAATATTGTGGGGCTACGAGGACCCATTCTTGAAAATCGTGCCAAAACGTATTCCTACAATAGTTGGTGTATTCGTTCCTGTGAGTACCAAATATTAATATTAATAACCACTCTGAAAAATGCAAAAGTGTGTTAATTAGATATTTTACAACTTGGAGAGTATGGTTGTTTAAAGGTATTTTTTCTTGTCCTTTTGATATTGTTGTACTTTAATTGGATAAATATAATGGCATTTGAAATTCATAATATTATAATTTAGTGTGCTAACCCTACTTATTATCTTGGAACATATATTCTAATTCTTAAAAAGTCTTTATCTCACATGGCTTCAGTTTTCCAAGTTCCGAAAATTTAGTTATCTATTAAATTTAACTATTAAATTTAAAATTAAGCTGCGATTTAATCAGTTTTCATTGTTTAATAAATATGAAATTTGTCTAAAATTAGATATAAGCTGGTAAGTCTTTGAGCACTATTTTCAGTTTTAATTTACCTCCTCAAAAAAGTCAAGTTTAATACCATATTTTTTATTGTGTTAAATGTATTCATTCTATCATTCCTTCTTTTCTACACCTATTATACATTGTTTAAATGTAAATTTAAAAGCCTAAATTTGCACACACTAGATTGGTAAAATGTCCTACTTTATGGAGTTTGTTAGTAAGAACTTCTAGTGGTCTATAAATGTCATGAAATGGCAGTTTGTACATTAAGGAAAACAGGAATTTAATGATAGACTTAGCTACAGCTTAATGTTTTGAATTATAAATAGGACAAGCTGACCCTTGAATTGGAATTTTGACTATGATTTGGTACTCTATGTGATATTAGTTATATTCTCCAGTGCATTGCTGTTATTATACATCCAAATAGTATTTATGGTTACAACATTATCTACCAATTAAAATTAGGTATCATTGTAGAGAACCTTAAGGGATCAGAGACTCAGTTATTATTTTTTAATTCAAATATTCATAACTCTTTCCTTGGGTAATTCTGTTTTTAATTTTGTATACCTAATTTTTTTGGTAACTACTTATTCAAGATCTTAACATTCAGAATACCCCTAGTATCTATCATTGTTCTCAAAGGTTTTGTTCAATACCCCCTCACCTCAATAAAATAGCAGTAATCAAAATAGTCTTGCTAGCTTAATTATGACAAAGAGCACTAGAGTCTGAATTATATAAACTTCTGATTGATTTCTTCCTTTGTCTCAGCATCTAGCACATATTTCTAGGCATATTTCATATTCTATCTTTTTAACACGTTAAAGACCAATAATTTTGAAACTTCATTGCATATATGTTTTAAATCATATAAAAATTATGAATAACCAGTCTTTGAAAAATGCAAAAGTGAGTTAATTAGATATTTTATAACTTGGAGAGTATGGGTTGTTTTAAAGGTATTTTTTCTTGTCTGTTCAGTACAATGACACTGCAGATGGAGTTTATACAGTTTTCAATGGAAAAGATAATATCAGCAACGTTGCCATAATTGACACTTACAAAGGTGAAAAGTAAGTATCCAGGTTAAGAGTGTGTGTGTGTGTGTGTGTGTGTGTGTTGCTAAGGTACTCTAAGGCAGGAGGGGCATTCACTTCACTGGGAAGGCACGGCACAGATGCCTACCCATGAAACAAATCTACCTGGGTCTCAGCCCTGAAAACTCCTGTTCTACCAGGCATTAATCCTTCAGATATGACAGCTAGTCACACTCTAGTGCACAGGTTCTCTTACACAAGAAATCCAAAGGGACTATTTCCATTTCTGTTGCATAACCAACCTTATGGAGCACCCAGCCAATTAGATAACCACAAAGCAAAAAGGGAGAAAATCAATACATGAACTGATCATCTAGTAGGTATAAAATATTTTTACTGGGTTGTTTAACTTTTTTACTCAGCATATCAAGTAAAAATTGTTCATTTCATTATCATGACCTAATGTGTCTATAAAGATAAAAGCTCAATGAATCCATGCAACTTTCCCCTTCAAAAATTTCTTGAAATTAGTTCTTATATGGTAACTCAGTTTTTTAAAATTCTTATCAATTCCAATATAAAATGAGCATTTCAAGTAGTCTTAAAATTTACATATTAAACCTGAAAATAAAGAGCATGTCTCCTTTAAAGTAGTAATGGAATGGGACATGTTCTTATAGCCATGATTTTCTTTTCCTCAGTCCTGCCTGTGCAGCTGAAATAGGTTATTTATCATATGTGTAAAATAAGAAGAACCCTAATAAATGTCAGGGAGGAAAGGCTTTTCTTCTCCTCAAAGTTAATAAATATGCTTTTAATCACTTATTTCCTGAAAAAATATTCAAATTTGGAAGAGATGAAATATTTTTGTTAATATTAATCATTTCCTCATACCTGAGTCCCTACATAAAAATTTACTACAACAGTTACATACTCACTAGTGTAGTACTTTTTCTTCTACAGAGTCCATAGTCACATATTTTTATAAAAAAGTCTAGTAGAGCAAAACAAACACTTCCCAATGTTCATTTCAGGGAAACCACATCACTGTTTATATATTGAGGAACATGAACATTTTCTCCATTTCAATATTACAGCAAGATTTTGAGGGGGGTTGCTAAGTGTCCCTTTTTTTTGTAGTTTTTTTTTTAAATTTTATTCTTGTTCAAGTACAATTGTCTGCATTTTCCCCCCACCGCTCTACCCTGAGCCATCCCCACCTCCCTCCCCTGATTCCACCCCTCCTTGGTTTTGTCCACATGTCCTTTATAGTTGTTTCTAAAGTCCCTTCCCTGCTTCCCCCCATTAACGCCTCCCACCTCCCCTCTGGTTACTAAGTGCTCCTAATTGGAGGAAGAATTTCCCATCAGTTTAAGATGATGATAAGGTTAGTTTAACTGGTCACAGCAACACTGAGCATGATTGACAGCTTATTCTGTTTTTAAAAAGAAGCATCAACTTGCACTGACATCTCACTGGCTGATATGTTAGGAATAAGAAAAAAAAAACATTTTTCCATCACCAAAGGTGGCTGAGGATACAGAGAAACTATTACTACTATGTTTGTTATTGCATATATATATATATATATATACACACACACACACACACACACACACACACACACACATACATATATAGCTGTCAATCTTATCTAGACAGCTCAGTATAAATTAATAAACTCTGTCCTATTTTAATGCCAGCTCATGCCAGAGTTAAAAGGAGGCAAATATATAAATTGATTATCTACATGGTTCTTATCCCTATTGATCAACCATCTGCTTCTCTTTCTTTCCTCCTACCCACTCCCCTCTTTTCCCTCATACAGAGCTTACATCAGTTAGCACTTACTATTTTCCTCCTATTCAGTTTGAACACTCAATATAATACCAAATAATTTATTTCTACAATTGGAAAAAAATCCCTTAAGAAGAGATCTGAATTTCTGATCAACATTTCTCCATTTTCTTTTTTCAGAACTGTCTATTCCAAATTGTTTCTATTTAAGCAGTTTATTTTATAATCTAGCTACTTAATGGTACCAGTCACTTAATCTATTTCAACAAGATGAAGACTTCAAAGAAAATATGGACTGAAAGATTTAGAACATTTCTTAAACTTAGCATTTGTCACACTTAAACTTTATCTTAGCAGAAGTATTGCATCATAATAGATGAAGTAACATGAGAAAAGTGCTCTTGAAATGAGAATGTTTATTTCTTTCTTTTTATTCATAAGGACTCTCGGTTATTGGTCAAGTTATTGTGACATGGTTAATGGTACAGGTAAGAGCATTTCTTTTGTAATAATCACAATGAACCCATGTCCCTCTCCCACAAATTCACCTTCAATACCCACAGGATTCTGAAGATTAGATTACGTGTTTACCTGACTTTATATCCCCAGAATATACTTCAGACTCTCTATTCTTATATAGGTTTAGTAAATATCTGTTTAATGTGATAAAATTTCTAAAGATTAACCATCAAGGATTAACCTTTATTGAATTACTAGGGGAATATTTGCTTTGTAGAAACTTTACTTAATGAACTTCCTCTCTGGCAATAGAAGGTGTTAAAAAAAACTTAGACAACTGGTTACTATTCACATCTTTTACAAATACTGCATAGGTAATAATTGAACATTGAAAAATATAAAAATACCAAAATACTTACAAAAGGTACATCATAATTCCAAGTGAGGTTTTGAACCTCAAGCTGAGGTAGAATCAATGAAGTTGCGAGACAGATCCATCTATTTTGAATAAGGTGGTCATTCTGAGAGAGAAAAGGACACAAAACAAGTTTAAATGTTTATGAGCCATGACAAATGTATGAAAAGATGGACACTCTGAATTAGAATTGGGAAAAAGACAATACTATGAACTTATAGTGTGGTTAGATATGGCTGAGTGTACTCCTTGCCGAAAAGCAAAGCACACAAATGCCTATTAATTTAAGAATTAAGATTTTAGCCCTGGCTGGTGTAGCTCAGTGGATTGAGCTCGGGCTGTGAACCAAAGTGTCGCATGTTTGATTCCCAGTCAGGGTACATGCCTGGGTTGCAGGCCATGACCCACAGCAACCCCACATTGATGTTTCTCTCTCTCTCTTTCTCCCTCCCTTCCCTCTCTAAAAATAAATAAATAAAATCTTAAAAAAAAAGAATTAAGATTTTAAAGAGCAATGGGAATTGAATACCATGAGTAATTAAAGTCAGAGGTAAGCTTTTCACAACTAAGTAGAGGCAGAAGAATGATGTTCACAAAGTTGATGAGGCAATACCCTGTAGGAAAACAATATAATAAAGATGAACATTAAATACAAAGTTATGCAGAAAATAGGGACTAAAAAAGGAAATGTGAGGGATACCTAAGTATTGTTGACTTTGGCAGTTTTATTTAATGTTGTTATCACTTCCCTACAGAAAAACAGGAAAAAAAAAACACTGAGGTTTGCTTTGTAAAGCTTTGAGCCGGGGGGTAAATGAAAGAAAGGAAGAAATTTCTAAGTAGAGCATTTCTGCAGACAAATTGTAAAGTGTGCCAATACTACTAGCTCTTGTATTTGTATGAGCATAATACTCCAGTCTTAGATGCAGAGTGAAATATGCTGTGCTGTTCCTAAATACTAAAGGGTCCTTTTTGGCTTTAAGAAAAACAAATGTCATTAAACATTTCTGCCAAAGCTAAGAAGTAGAGAAGTTTTAAAAAAGAAGCTAGAGAAATCATTAATGACAATAGTATAAATAAATGAGCAACTGGCATGAAATTAAAGTATCCAAGAAGAAAACAGAAGTAAAACAAACCAGGAGTGGAGGTAAATTGGGGAGTGCATGGTACTTTGATGTGATACCAGTGAGACAGACTCTTGGTAATGGCACTAGGGAAAAAGAGACAAATGAAACAGAAGTTCCAATGTGTTTTCATCATAATTTAAAAATGCTTTCTCTACCTTCTTCAGTAAGTTTGAAGAGACATAAAATACAAATACTGATATACATTTAAATGTTTTTTAATGCCCTCTAATATCAGCTATCTTTGGCGGTCATGGCCAATGGTAATGGCTGGTACTATTATGATATCATCTTCAGTGATATTTCAGATAGATTTTTAAAGCTTTTCAATGCATTATTTTTCTTTCATGGTTGAGGTGTTGGGAAAGCAGTTGTGGACAATGCCCATTCAGGGACCAATCTGAGGAGTTTAAGCTAATCTTTAATATCCAGTTTTCTGAATGCCAGGATGAAGTTCACTGTGATCTTGTTATACTTTACTTATCTCAAGAGTATAAATGAAAAGCAATGACATTATAAGGTTGGAGACTTAGCAGAAAAAGAACCTGAAATTCATAATTTAAGGGTAGAATTTATCATTTTAAATAAAAACATTCAGTAGTGGCTCATTTTGGTGATATTTACTTAAGGAGGAATCAGAGGGGTTATCTCCTTATTTCTTCATATACCCAGTGTGTGCCATAAGCATAAACATAGCAGAAATTCAATAAATTAAAAAAATGTCCTTTCTAACTTGATGGATATGTTTTCAAACCATGTGCAAAAAATTTTGTTCAATGAGAGAAACTTAAAAAATTATTTAAAAAAAAATAGCCCTTAGAGCAGATGAATGAATTACTATAAAACATATAATGCAAACCAAAAAGGAGTTCTAAATCAATTTCATGGTAACAATGGTGCCACTGTACTACATGTTTAAATGACAATATTTGGATATATTGAGTTAAATAAAACATACTTGTTTCTTTTTATTTTTTAAAAATGTGGCTACTAGAGAGTTTTAAAATTACAAATAATATTTGCATTATTTAGTTGTTCATGCTGAAATAGAGATTTCTAGATTTTTCAAGGACACACATTACATCTAACCCCTTGTCACTGGATTAATTTTTAAATAGATGCAGCCTCATTTCCTCCTTTTGTGGAGAAGACTCGGGTTCTGCAATTCTTTTCCTCTGACATTTGCAGGTAAGACAAAGGCGCTGATATATTTCTGAGTCAGAACTTTATACTCCAGGTAACAAAATACAGAACAAGAATCTCATATTTAGTAATATTATTTGAGAAAAATGAGATACACTTAGTGAAACTTCTCTTGACTTAGTAAGAACAAATACAATATGGAAATCATAATGTGTTTATTAGCATAAGCAACAAAATACAATAAAAATTAAAAGATATAGGATATTTTGCATAATATAAATCATTCTCTTCTTATCATTTCTAAGCTAGGACTCTTTCTTTCATTAAACTAGTATTATGTTTAATCACAGTCAAGTCTAGCCTTCCATGCCCAGTTTTTCTAAAGATGCCCAAAGAAGATGATGTCACTCACAGAACTATGTTGATTAATGTGCTCCATCTCTACTACAGCGTCTTTTTCAAACTGACGGGGCCTAGTAGATACCACACAACATTGGAGCCCAAAGTAATATGCTTGAATCCTAGCCCTGTTCCCAAAGGCTATGTGGTTGTGAGCAAGTATTTACAATCTTTGAATTTTTTCCTCATCTGTGAAATTAAAGAAAGCAGTATTTTTTTTTCATATCGAGTTATATGGAGATTGGAAGAAATACTTATTGAGCCCCAGCATGTTACCTGGGTTATGGTGGACACCTGGTATGTGATGGACTATAGGATATATCAAGTACTAACATGCACACACCACTGCGAGCAAGTGGCCTTTTTCTCCATGATGGTTTTGAAAGACATTTTATTTTTTTTAAGAATTTACTTATAGAGAGAGGGGGAGGGAGGAAGAAAGAGAGGGAGAGAAACATCAATATGCAGTTGCCTCTCCCAGGACCCCAGGGACCTGGCCTGCAACCCAGGCATGTGACCTGACTGGGAATTGAACTAGTGACCCTTCGGTTAGCAGGCTGGCATTCAATCTGCTGAGCCATGCCAGCCAGGGCCTCAGACATTTTATTTTTATTTCATTGCACACAGAAAAATGATGCGAAGCAGTCATATAGCTATTTAATCTATAAAGAAAATAAATTGTGAGAAATGGCTTTAGTATCAATACACCATGGTACTTCACAAGCAAAAACTATTCTTAGAAGCTTTTGAAAATAAAGGTAAAAATAGCTCATACTAAGGTGTTGGGTTCTGATATGCCTTAAAATTTCATAAGAACTTCTTAAAAATAAGGAATTCTAATGAGTGTATTGGATTTTGCTAAGTTAAAGCAAGAACATAAATCTGAAAATAAGAAAAAGTGAATCTCCAGATTGTAGTTCAGTTCCCTGGAATGAAGCTCTGTCTTCTCTGCATTTAGGTCCATCTATGCTGTGTTCACGGCCGAACATGATCTGAAAGGAATTTCTGTGTATAGATTTGGTCTTCCACCCAAGGCCTTTGCATCTCCAGTTCAAAATCCAGATAACGATTGTTTCTGCCTAGACCTACAGACCACAAATAATTGTACATATTCTGGTTTGTTAGACATTAGCAAATGCAAACAAGGTGAGTAAATGTTCTCAATATTGCAGTTCATGGCATAATTTACAGCATCTTTAAAATATTACCTTTACCCAGGATCCCTTTCCACCAAAAATTTAAGACGAGAATGCAATAAGGACAGAAAGTAAGGGTGATGGTAGGCAATTTCTGTTTTGATATTGTGTTGTGTTTGAGGTTCCAATTGCATTTCAGTGCTGCAAAAATTAATTATTAGGTAAAATCATACTGATATATCCCTGTGCTATTTTAGAAATGGTTGTTTAGGCTCTTTTCCATTTTTTAAATTAAGTTATTTATGTATGTATTTGTGTATTTGTATATTTATTTGCTCTTTTTCTTTTTGAGTTGTATGGGTTCCTTGTAGATTTTTAGATTTTATATACTTATTAGATATCTGGTCTGCAAATATTTTCTCCCCATTCTATATATTTTTTTTTGATGGTTTCCTTTGCTATGTACAATACTTGTGCTTTTTTTTTAGATTTAGAGTAAAAGAAAAATAATTCCCAAAATACTTTGAGCATCCCAATGTATGCATCTGCCATTTTTCTTTTCTTGAAAATAGTAAATAATAATAAATATATATTTTAGTATGTCTCCGAGGCAAAAATTGACTTATGCATAATTTGGGATCTGTCTTGGTTTATTCACCTTCTTCATATTGGGAGAAGTGTGAATAAAGAAAGAAAAACCTCTTAAATTAATTAATTCTCAATCCATAGAAATATTACCACCCATAACATGAACATATATGGTTGAAACTGTGTTCATCAGCCAAACCTTACATAGTAAAAATTAACACTTAAGGAACAAACAGCAGATATCAACTGACTGTTAGTAGGATGATGTAGAATTTTGTATTTTACTTTTGTACAATAGTAATCAGATGTTATAATTCTTCACCCTCACCCCTGAAATTTGTGTTCAAACACAACTATGCATTTTTTAAATTTAAAAAGTTGTATTTTCAAGGAATCTTTTATGAGTGGTATGTGAAATCAGGAAAATAATTTATTTCTAATTATTTTAATTCAGGAAAACCTGTGATCATTTCGCTTCCTCATTTCCTACATGCAAGTCCTGAAATTTTAGAAAACATTGTTGGTCTCAACCCAATTGAAGAAGATCACAGCACATACTTAGATGTTGAACCTGTAAGCAAATATACCATTGATCTGCCTTCTTTAATGCTGTTTTCTTAAATGAAGTTAAAGAAAAAATAAATTCCTTCCTTGTCAATCACATTTATTGAATCACAATCTTGATTAGCACCTTTATTTCAGTGAAAACTACATTGATTTTTTTTCAATTGCTTTTATAACATATCAAGGGAATTTACCATATTCTGCTGTGTATAATGCACATTTTTTTGCCTGAAGTTTTGAAGGAAAAATAAGGTTGCACATTGTAAACGGGTAGTACTAAAATGTGGGTGCACATTATACACAGGAAAATACAACAAAAAATTTTACTTTTTAAAATTAAAGAACTTTTTAAGCACTTTCAATGGTTAATAGGTCATAAGTACCCCTTATAGTAATAATTCTAATTGGCTTACAACAGTTTGATATAAATTGTTAGTTTATGCTTATTTTATAGTTAACTGCAAGTATTGCTTGTATGAAGAGACAGTATATTATGTGAATCAAAGGAAATTTTATGGGTATATGTATGAATTTAGGGCAAGAATTATTATACTTAGTGTCAAAATATAAAAAATCCTATGAGCACATAGTTTTTTAATTTTTAAATTGCTTTTATATTCCCATTTTCAAATTATGTTTATATTTCCATTTTCAAAAATTAAATGAAAGGCCAGAATTTTAGTAGTAATATTTTATTTTAAATAATGATAGTATTATTAAACTGATGATGCATGGATTCTAACTGAATATATATTTGACTATGCATAGTTTAGGAACTAAATAAACTGAATAAGCTCTTATGTTTCAGTACTGATATTGTTGTTGTTGATTCCCCAAAACCATTTCTGGTAAATATTACAAATCTAAATGAGGCCTTGAAATTAGGCTGGGCAAAGGAGTTCTATGTGTATGTACTTGTATGTGCATGTCTGTGTGCGTGTGTGTGCAGGTGCCTGTCTATATGCTTATGCAGCTGATGGGATTATGGATAGTTATATAGGAAATATTTAATATGTCCAACTAATTATTTAATATATTTTACAAGTTTCAAGTAGAACAGTTTCACCTTAGGTTCTATATAGCAGTAGAAATACATTTTGGATAACTTAATAATAATTTTAGTTTGTTCTTTCTTTAGATAACTGGATTCACTTTACAATTTGCAAAACGGCTGCAGGTCAACTTATTGGTCAAGACAACAAAAAAAATTGAGTAAGTCTCCTGACCAAGGTTATCAGTATGTGATTCTTAGTATTTTCTTTTTTTTTGGATTTATTTTATTTTATTTATTTTTAGAGAGGGAAGGGAGGGAGAGAGAGAGAGAAACATCAATGTGGGGTTGCCTCTCATGCACCCCCTGCTGGGAACTGGCCTGCAACCAGTTCCCTGACTGGGAATTGAACCTTGACCCTTTGGTTTGCAGACCCATGCTCAATCCACTGAGCTACACCAGCCAGGGCTGATTTGAAGTATTTGGTGGCACCTCTCATTTTGCTAGCTTTCCAAATATTTGTGTGACAATAGTTTCTAGAATATGCACTTCCCCTTTAAATGAATTTGTTTAAAATGTGTACTTAGAAAAAGTGAATCTAATTATAAATATGTGTTATAAAGGTTTTTAGAAAGAAATATGTCTAAGAAACAGCCTTAATAAAGTTTATAAGACTCATTACAGGGAACAAAAACCAAGGAACTTAATCAAGTTGCAAGAACAACTAATTTCTGAATATTTTTACACTGATAATTACTAAAATTTCTGTTATATATAATAATATACTTTTATTTTTTATTTATGTTACAGGGCTTTAAAGCATCTGACTAGGAACTACATAGTGCCTGTTCTGTGGCTTAATGAGGTTAGTATTTTTAATCTATGAGTCATTAAAGTCAGTAAACCTTGTTGTATGTAAACATGCTTCTAATCTTTCAAAATTTAATATGCAGCATGAGGCAGAAAGGTTTATAGTTGTGAGTACATGAAACAGTTTATTCTTGTATTATTATTTATTAATTATTGTATTGTTCTCCATACAAACAGCTGTACACCTACTTTTGCCCCATGCTATATATGTATAGTATTTGAAGTTGTGTGTTTTCATTGGCTATATAGATGAGTTTATATATTATTAATTATAGCTATTTGAGAGAACCAACCCACATGGAAGCACCAAATTTGTGTTAGTTTTCAGTTTACTTTTAGAAAGATGAAGCACTTTTTTAATCATTTTAGATTAATTTCAAAATGCACCTATTAAACAGATTTTTCTTCTCGTGGTACTTGTGTTAGGAAAGAGTCATTGAATTCACCTAACTCCAAATAATTCAAGACTCATTGAATATTATAGTTAATAAAAGCCAACCAAGCTTAAAAAATCCAGGTTAGAGCAGGTCTAGGTCTCTCTCCTATTGCCTGACAAGATTATTTTTAGTGTAAACAAATGAAATTGATTAGCCATAGAATTAGGAAATGCATTACATAAGTCTTTAGAGGGAATGAAATAGTAGACCCTTGTCATTTTCCTCTGTCACTAGAAAATATACTTTGGAAAATTGTGAAAGATTTTAAAAAGACAGTTCTAAGGATCAGTGGAGACTAGTGTGTTGTGGAGTGCCAGAGAACATGTCTAAAAGGAAGAAGATTATATTTCACTCTGTATTCTACCCTGGCACCTACTGTCTTCTTTAACAAGGGAAGGGGATTTCAGTGGCTTGTATTATAGATACAGATGACTAACAACTATATGAGTGTTTGGAGAAAAGAGTGATACATAAGTAGAGGATTTTAAGTATTTTGCTCCACTGATCTACAAAAATAATGCTAATTATTAACTTGATTACAGACTGGTACCATTGGTGATGAGAAGGCAGCAATGTTCAGAAGCAAAGTGACTGGAAAAATAAAACTCCTTGGTGTGGTAGAAATTGCCTTACTCAGTGTTGGTATGGTGATGTTTGTTGCTTTCATGATTTCATACTGTGCCTGCAGATCAAAGAAAACAAAATAAGTAAGTACATACTAAATACATATATATATATATATATATATATATATGTATATTACTTCTGTAATGTTAGTTTATATATTACTTGTTTTCATTTTATCAAAGAGGGGTTATAAATTAGGTTGTAACTCTTTCTGGACATGTCTAGCCAATTATCATTTTTAAATATGTCCTTGAAGTTTTGAGATGCTTATTATAAACAAAGACATAAATGAAGACTAATGAGTAAATAATACCTATGAATATCAAGCAGATCACTGTATTATATCTTTATTCTGAGAGAAAAGGGATAAAAGATAAAATTGTCACCTTTGAAAAGTTACAACATACAGTTTTGTTCAAAATACTGATTTCATTTCTTGATAATTTCTAGTTAATTACTTAAAAAATAAAAAATAATTTAACATGTTGACTAGAAAAGCTTTTGTAAAATTGAAAGTGGTAGATATTGGGGAGATTAAAATTTACAGGGGAAAATAAAAAGACAATTAAGCTAGAAATTAATAAGAAACTAAAAACCCAATAATAAATGATAGAGATAAAATATGCCATTTCGAGTAAACACTGAAGTAAAATGAAATTTAAAATGAAGATAACCATAATATAAATACAGGATTGCTACATATAGACAGGCTGGACACGTACTGTCCAAAACCAAGGTGTGTATCCTGGATGTTTAATATGGAAGCCAGCTGAACAGTTAAAATTCATGAGCTAAAATTTGATTACAACACAAAAGAATAGAATAAAATAGTGTTCTACACAGTAAAACTAAATTACTCAGAGTATAGAGAAAAAATAATATAACTGTGGACAGTGTTTGAGTGGAGTTTTAGCAAAACTGTAGAGGTGGTTCAGGCCTCTGTGTTTTAGATATTAGTGTCCGTGTCACCTCGTACATAAACAGTAATGAATGAATGCCTGATCCTATCTTCCCTAAGTGGAAGCCTTTTTAAAAATAATTATAGGTGCCACTGATGTGGCCTGTGGGGGAGAATTTTTCACTTCACCCATAGTTTTCACCAGCGCCCCCTTCCCAGGCACATAAAAAAAAAAAGATAAAAGCAATACACTTATTTAAAAACCACAACTCAGAATGTCTTCTTATTTTACTTTCAATCAGATTGATGATCCTAAGCTATTTTACACAGAGATTCTGGAGCTGCTGCTAACTCTGAAGCTTTTACTATGTGCCAAGATTATGCCAAATATGTTACATATACTATCACATCTGATACCTTATACAATTTCATGAGATTCCAATAGCCAGGGATTCATCTGCATCCATTCTATCTTCTGCAGAAGGTCTAGAAAACTGTAAACTTAACAGTGCAGAATTGTCCATTTTCAAATTGTGAATCAGTCAAATTGATGATTTTTGTAAAGTAGAATCTTCAGATCAGTATTTCTTTTTTTGTGTTTGAGATTGAGTGCTTGCGTGTAGGAAGGTAACACAATCTTTTGTTCTGATCATTTCTGCCACTATAAAGAAGACTGAACAATTATGCATATATAGGATATATTCAAAATGCTAACTTAATATATTCATATTACAATAAATAAAGGAAATATTGCATTGTCTCTAAGATAATTAGCTCAGTAATGAATTTTATGATTAAACAAAGTATTCATATAACCATTTATGTAATAGAGAAATAAAATAATCCACTGAAAATTAAACAATTTTAAAAGATGTGTTCTAGTGGGAAAGCATGTTTTCAAAAGAGAGCATAGTAGTTACAAAATTTTTTCAGTAACTATTTTCTATTAAAATCTTGTTACTGCCTAATGAGCCCTGAATGTCAGATTCCTTGGATTCTCACACGCCTTTTTTTTTCCTGTATAAGTAGAGAGAAAATTTTTCCTTGAAGATGACTTGATTCACTAAATTTAAAAGAATCACAGGAGATGTGTATTTTCTTTAACAAGCCTCAGTTTTGAATATTATAAAATTTTGCCTTTGGGAAGATTTGTAAACAATTGGAAAAACAGGAGATAGATATACAAAATAAAATAAAAGATTAGACAGTGGAACTGAAGAGTAGTTTTATTCAATGGATAACAAAGAGAATAAGCAAATAGTTATCTCAAAAATAGTAGTATATACACCTCTCAAGGGAAGGTGGTCTTAAGGGAGAACCAAGACTAGAAATGATTGCCTGGAGCAGATTAACTAGTTAGCACTCCTTGTCTGGCTATGTGCAGGTCTTGAGAGTTGAGAAGCTCATCCTTCTTGAATGGGAACATGTATTGCCTTATCTATGAAGTCTACCAGAGAACTTTTCTCTGCAGCTTGATGAATTGGGCTTAATAACGGAAGTGTGGTGTCTTGGAGATATGAAATTTGAGTATTACCTGTTTTCTTGTCCCACTGCTTTCTGATAAACAGTAACATTTCTTCTACTTTCTAGACAGCAAATGAGCCTTTGCATTTATGCACCAGCAACATCAGGACCTTTGTTAACACTGACCTACAAAATGAAGATTTAATGTGCTTTATTTTTACAAAACATACCTAATTTTATAGTTGAAGAAATAGTGGCACTATTCATTTTTGCAATAAGCAGCAATACATTTCTGAAGAATTATTAAAGTGTCATTAAAATCCACAATCTAAGCAAGAAACCAGCACCTTTTAAAATGTATCATGTACAGTACAGTTGAATTGATTTTAGTGTCTACGGACCAGGATCAAGTGTAAACCAATTATTTTTATTTGGTACTGACTCACTAATTGGTTCCCTGGTGACAAATTCAGCAGAGAAGTGGACATTCTAAACAAATTCTGGATCCTGAACTCGTATCTTCTTCATCAAGGGAAAGCACTCTCCCACTCAAGTGGTGTCCCCATTCAGGTGCAGCAGACCCCAGGACCTGCCAGTACATTGCGTCTCATGAGCATCCATTGTTTTTGAAAGACGTTTAAGGATGGAAGATAAATTATTAGCTTCTGAGTCATTTACTATACATTACTTAAGTTTCTTTATCTATGGAATTCTTTGTATAGCAAACAGCAAGCATTATAATTATGTTTTTACTTTATAAAAACATCGGCTTCTATTTTGTCACTGATTATGCAAATGGTAGTCATTTTTTGCAATTTTGGCTCTGCATCATAAGGACTTTGTCATTTTCCACATTCTGCAGGTCTTTTGGAAATCTGAGTAAACTTTGATCTTTCTACAACTTGTACTTCACAACTTCAGAGTGCTGTGTGGTATTAAAAGATGTAAATGAGAATAAAGGAATTATTGCATGAAACACAACAAAGAAGAGACTGCATTAATAATTATTTGTTGTAATTTTTTGTCTTTATAGTCACCTCAGAAACACCAATTTCAACCATTAAAAGATGTTCTTCCTTAAACCCCTGCACTTTGCATAGTTCCTGTTGTGCCACAAAACATTTACCTGGATTTTCTGTCAGAAGTATTTTCTTTGAATCCATACTTCTTTATGAATCCACATTTCCTTTTGTAATATTCTTTTTAATTCAATATTGACATCTTGTCCCAGGCTATTTTAGTCAACTGAAGGAAAAGCAAAAAAAGATTTGGTTTCATATTTTATAGCAGCATGACTTTAGTCCTAGACTGTGAAAGTCTTCCTTTTTTTATCAGACATTATTAAGTAGTCCTGCTTTCTTTAGCAGAAGTTTACTTATTGCAGAGCACTGGTCTGCCTGAAAAGATCCTCATAGAAAGAAAATATGGGCTGTGTTCTGTCTTGCGTTTTACACACAGAGGTTTATAGACACTGGTTTGTTTGCATATTAAAATTAAGAATTACTTGTCTTCTCATGTTAGCTTACAGGGCAATAATAAAACCCCAAGCAAGACACCTCCAATTCAGATGGATGTTTTGGAAACCCAAAGGTACTCAAAGCATACTGACTTATATCTTCCCATTAAATTGGGAGTGGAAAAACATATCCCTCTAAGATAGTGATGTTTTCATGTCAAGCTATGTTTAACCATCACCGAGCTATAATTGTTGCTTATATCAAGTTTGAAAATCTATAGCATGGGCAAAGGGCTTAACATAAGTTAGAGAACCTACAGCACCTGCAAATACATTTGCTTACTGTTGCTGACAAGTGCATGAAGAGAACAAAGCTTTTGGATTGTAGCAGAAAAAAGAACTAAAGTGAGTATCATTTCAGGAAGAAAACAGTTTCCCCTGTTATATTCACTGAATATTCACTCTGGACTTTCAGGATATTTGTGTTTGGATTTATATGTGTGAAATATTCTGTCAATCTCTTAACACGTTTTCAGTGTCAGAGTTATACAATCTCTTTCTAGCTGAAGTTGTTTTAGGTACATTCTAACTGACAATTCAGTGTTTCTGGGAAAAGTTTAATGTTTGTAACACTGTGGCTGCTCTCCATTTGCTCTTCTGGCTCATCTACCATTCTAAATGGATTTTGAACTGTACTTAAATAATCACTGTTCATTTTTTTCTGTACAGATCAACAGAATTACCTATGATTCATTTTTCTGAGTTATTTGACGTGATCTGAGCTAATGAACTGAAATATGAATGTTTTATATTTGTATCCAATACGTACATGCTTTTTTCCTTTTCCAGCTCAAAGGTATCTGCATATTTAAGTATTTGTGAAACTACAGGCATATCTCATTTTAACATGCTTCACAGAGGTTGTGCTTTTTAATTTTTTGTGTATATTCCAATAATACTTTATTTTTTAAATTATATCTTAGTGATTATGCTGTTACAGTTGTTCCAAGATTTTCTCCCCTTTTTCCCCCTCTTCCCTGCACCCCTGCTCTCCTGCATTCTCTCCCTTAGTTCATGTCCATGGGTCATACACATAAATTCTTTGGCTTACCCAATCCTATACTATTCCCCCTTGTCTAATTTATACCTATCATGTATGCTTCTTATTCCCTGTACCTTTTCCCCGTTCTCTCCCTGCACCTTCCCTGCTGATAACCTTCCATGTGACCTCCACTTCTATGATTCTGTTCCTGTTCTAGTTGTTTGCTTAGTTTGTTTTTTGTTGTTTGTTAGGTTCAGTTGTTGATAGTTATGAGTTTGTTGTCATTTTACTGGCTTCATAGTTTTGATCTTCTTTTTCTTAGGTAAGTCCCTTTAACATTTCATATAATAAGGGCTTGGTGATGATGAACTCCTTTAACTTGACCTTATCTGGGAAGTACTTTATCTGCCCTCCCATTCTAAATGATGGCTTTGCTGGATAGAGCAATCTTGGATGTAGGCCCTTGCCTTTCATGACTTTGAAAACTTCTTTCTAGCCCCTTCTTGCCTGTAAGGTTTATTTTGAGAAATCAGCTGATAGCCTTATGGAACTCCTTTGCAGGTAACTGTCTCCTTTTCTCTTGATGCTTTTAAGATTCTCTCCTTATCTTTAATCTTGGCTAATAAAATTATGATATGTCTTGGTTTGTCCCTCTTTGGATCCAAATTCTTTGGGACTCTCTGAGCTTCCTGGGCTCCTGGATGGCTACTTCCTTCACCAGATTGGGGAAGTTCTTCATTATGTTTTCGAATAAGTTTTCAATTTTTTGTCCTTCCTCTTCTCCTTCTGGCACCCTTATGATTTGGTTGTTGGAACATTAAAAGTTATCCCAGAGGTTCCTAAGCCTCTCCTCATTTTTTAAAATTCTTGTTTCTTCATTCTGTTCTTGTCGGATGTTTATTTCTTCCTTTTGTTCCTAATTATTGATTTGAGTCCCAGTTTCCTTCCCTTCACTGTTGGTTCCCTGTATTTTTTCCTTTGTTTCACTTTGTATACAGCTTTCATTTCTTCCTTCACTTTGTGACTGAACTCAATCATTTCTGTGAGCATCCTGATTACTAGTGTTTTGAACTCTGTATTATCTGATAGGTTGTCTATTTCCTTGTCGCTTAGTTCTTTTTCTGGAGTTTTGGTCTGTCCTTTACTTTGGGCTATATTCCTTTGTCTCAGTGTACCTGTTACATTCTAAAGGGCAGAGTCTTAGATATTCACCAGGGTAGGGCAACCCTCTTCACTGCCTTGTGGCACTGTCAGTCTATGACTATTTCTTTAACTCCTTGGTTGTGGGACTTCCATGCAGTCTGGTTTTCTGGCAGTTCTGGTTGTTTTTTGTTTTTAAATTGGTTGTTATCCTTCTTTTGGTTGTGTGGGGAAGGGAAGCTTTTCTCCCTACACCCCCATCTTGACCAGAATTTCCTCAGAAATTGCATTTTTTAATAAATTGAAGGCAAGACCCCTCCACCAGCAAAAAAGTTACAAGTCGCTTTTATTTCAACACTCATTTTATAGCTATGGTTTGGAACTGAGCCCACAATATCTCTGAGATATACCTGTAAATACTTTTCTAATTTGAAAAGGTTTGCTTTCATTTTTAATTTTTGAATATATTTAACTTCAATGTTATTTAATATTGCTACTATAACTTTATAGTAGCTGTTATTATCTATTTATGGGTTATTTACATATTTCTCCTATATTCTTTTGCCAACTGTTCTCAGATGCTCGTAAGCTTATGTTTACACACTTCAGAAATGCTCCACTGTACACACTCATGAATGGAAACTGTGACAGAGCTAGGATTAACACAAATGTTTTAAAATATTTTCCTTTGCACTAAATCTGAGCCAACAGCCTCAGGATCTCCTGTAGACTTGTTAAAGATGCAGAATCTCAGGCTCTATGCCATACCTACTGACTCAGAATCTGCAGCATAACAGGATTCCCAAATGATTCATGACTGGTCATTTAAAAATAATGGTCCTGCCCTGACAGTTGGTTGGGTGTTGAGGGAAGGGTTGCTAGTTTGATTCCGGTCAGGGCACAGGCCTAGGTTGTGTGTTCAGTCCCAAGATGGGGCATGTGAGAGGGGAAACTGATCAATGTTTCTCTCCCTCTCTCTAAAAATAATTAAATAAATAAATAATAATAATAATGATTCCTATAAGTTTGAGAAAATGTTCTCTGTATCGCATACTAATTTAGTAATTTCCCTTTCCCCACTCTCTGTTCACCCCTCCCCTGCCACCAGAATGCACTATGCAGCATGTTTAGTAGAACTGCAAGTAGAAACAGGGATCACAGTGCAGCAACCCACTAAATGGACAGTTGGATCACATGGATTCTGAAATTTGTCCTGCAAATCACTTTGGACTGAAATAAGTTCTTTTGCTGTATTATTATGTTTGCTCTGTAATTTAGGAATATTCATCCGTGGTTACAGTTTAAGATGGTGACAGCCTAAACTCACCTTCTACCCCAGACATATTGGATCCATAGCTACATATGGAAAAATTTCCTCTGGAAAAAAAATAACTAGCTAGCCAACTCCTACACTTTGGGCAAACAAACAAAAATCACATTGAAGAGGACAAGAGAAGCTAAGACCCAAACTTGCCATAAATGCCACTTAGCATGGTGATGCACTTTCAAGAGGGGCCTCAACACCTGGAGCTTCTCCCCAGAAGATGAAGGGTTTGAACCCTACATCAGACACTTCAGCTTTTAAGACCTGTACCTGAGAGATGAACTCCCAAAACATATAGCCGTAAAAGCTAGTGGGTATCTCATCCGTAAGACCTACTAGGTTATAGCACACTGAGAAACAGCTTTTCAGGGCTGCATACTAGGACTCACCTGACCCAAAGACCAGTTCAGAAGTAGCCAGTCAAGAGGCATCTAGAATTTATGTAAAAAAAGCTCATTTTTCAATCTTAACATATCAGCCTGAGGGGCAGGCATCTCATTGAACACATTAGGGGCCTGCTGGGGAACTCTCCAGGGACAGAGGATGACAGGCTCCATCTTTTGTTTTTACCCCTGGACGGGCACTATCTCTATAGTCCCCATCCGCTTCACTCCAGCCCATGGGCATCAATTTAACGTTATTCCTGTGCTGTGCTACAGAGCATTGGCAGCTTCTCAGGGGAGATTTTGCATACATCTGTAACCCTAGCTTTTTTCTGGTGCCCTAGTTTTTTAGGCTATTGCCCATTGGACCTCCCTTGATTGCCGGGCTCTAGAAACCAGGGGGGCCTGTGTTCCCGTGGTACTGAACCAATTGGAGTGACAGTTCTTGGCAGACTACCACCCCTGGGCATTGTACAGACAGAAGATTGAAACCTACCCCCAGGCTTTTTGTGAAAGAGACCTACTTGCTTGTCCTAATGCTTTGGCCTAAGGGACAGGCTCAAGTTTGGTACATATCTAGAGGAATATAAATATGCTCTCAGGAAATGAAGGCCTGTGAACACCACCTTTGCATTC